GGCTGTGTGCTGGGAACCACAGTTGGTTCATTCTTGTAGTATGGTATTGAGTGGAAGGTGTACATGTAAGAGGACATCATAGGAAATGGCAGCCAGGGATCTCAACGCACTGTGTCACTCTGTTCCATGTGGACACATGCCACCCACAAAATTTTCCTTAAGCAAGAGTGAATGGGCAAAGCCTGTGCTCGCTGGGGTCCTCTAAGGTTTGGCTATGGTTTGAATATGTCCCCAAAGATACAGGAATTGAAGCTTGGTCTTGGTATGGCACCATTAGGAGGTGACGGGATCTTCAAACACTAGGCCCTAGTAGGAGGAGAGGACAGAGAATTTGGTCCTTGGGTGCATTCCTTGGAAAGTTCTCATAGCACCCTAGTTAGTTGCCACAAAAGTGAGTTGCTATAAAAGAGGAAGCCTGAACCCTGATTCATTCTGGCTTTTTATCTCTCCAATATCCATTCTCACACTGTGTTTTCACCAAGATGCCGCCTACCATATTATGATACAGTCAAGGGGCCCTTACCTGAGCTGCCCAGTCCTACCTAGACTTACGGCCTCCAAAGGTGTGAATTGAGTCTCTCTCTTTTCTTTATATAATATTCCACCAATGGATAAATCTTACAGCAATGGGAAACAGACTAATGCAGGCTCCCTACCATTCCTCCACATTCTACTTTCTTACTACTATTTGAAGACAATTTGCCTATAAGAAAACACATTTCAGTTTGATTTTCAAAAGCACGCCCACCATCTTAACCAGGTAGAGCCAATGTGCAGTTGCATATTTAATGCAGCGAACCAGGAGAAATAAGCAAGAAAGGAGACCTGGAGTCACTGAGTGCTGCTGGTGCTGGGAGATGGGAGATGGGAACGCTGTCCTCGGTGGACTCCTAGTCCTGGGCTCCCCCACAAAGAAGAAACTGTAAGTTCACACATAGTATTGTGGACTGTATCCAGCTCAGACAAAGAGAATTCAGAGTGTTAGCTTATTGACTCACAAATCAGATTACATCTTTAGACAGGGGACATGGGCTGGGGGTGCGAGGAGGAAAAGGCTGTAATGTTTGCAAAGGAAAGGAAGAATCCCTCAACTCATGTAAAGCTGCTGAACACAAGAGGCCCATGAGAGGAGCAGACCCTGATGAGTTCCCCGCCCCCATTGGAGCAGGCCTTAATCCAGCTATTCCTGTTCCTGAAGGAGAGGGTTTGGCCATGGACACCAAGTAGACTGCTGTGTGAATACAGTGGTTGAGAGTGGAGGGGTGTACCCGTCACCACTAAACACCTACAGCTGTTGGCCCTCACCGAAGCTAACTCTTGCAGAGCTGGCCCTTCTAATGTCTTCATGTGAGGTTTTCTGACTCCTTAACTAAAGTTCTGTTGCATAAACCACCTAGTTTGTGGCGCTTGCCACAGGAGCCCTGGGTAGCTGTTCCAGTGTGGGGCAATGGTTGAGAGAGGCAGGAAAGTACAGAGTCTACAATCAAGTCAATGCACAGCCAGGCCGGGTGTATGAGCTGATCTCAGGAGAGCGCTCTCTGGCAACGCATGGCCCTTTACCTACTTTGCCCCATCAATAAGCTTCTAGGCAATATGTCTGCGGCGTGTGTGTGTGTGTGTGTGTGTGTGTGTGTGTGTGTGTGTGTGTGGCTAAAGGGAAGAGAAGTGGGTGAGAGTAAGGCAGATTGAATGGGAACCTCAGTCAGTTACTTACTAGCTTTCATGCACAGACATCACAACTCTGGGCTGTTTAGAGAGAACAGTCCACCGCAGACGATAGTAGCAAGGACCACTAGTGGAGGTCTCCTGGGTCTCTTTATGCCTTATATTTGACCTGTGTTAGAGCCAGAGAGTAGTGGGAAATAAAACTAACATGAAAGGAGAGAGACGGGAGAAGGAGCCTGGAGTCGTTAGATGCTGGTGAAAGAGTCTCAAGAACTCAGGGTTCACTCTTTTTGATCCCCACAGCCCATGTTGTACAGGGCACCTCGGAGATGAGCATGGGTTGGCGACTAAAGTGCCTTGGGCAGACCTCAGAAGGATGACACTTTGTCATATGGTGAAGACAAAAGTCACCATCTGACACTGCGTAATGAAATCACCCACTCCAGTGCTTTACCCAGACTACACTTGATGCTCCATTCCTGCCTTGGTCTCTCACAAAGAATGCATCATTAGGCCACCTTCCCTGAGGAGCTTCCAAGAGAACCAAATTCTGAGCTAAACAAAAATTCCTTAAAAATAGGTTCTTAGGAGTCGTAGAAAAAATTTTGATAACATTACTAATTCTACATCTTAAGACCATGAGAAGAATCATTTTTAAGGTTGTTTAATCCAAAGTCAACTCCAGCTTAGAGTGGATGGAAACAGAGTCTTGGTTGCAATGAATGAAGATGCCATCCCAGTGCTGATTCTGACCCAAAGAATACAACGTCTCCACCCAAGTGACTGCCTTCCTGTTGATCCTGCTTTCGTTCTCTTCACAGCATCGCTAACATTTGAAACAGGATGCTTGTCTATTTATCCGACTTGTCTATTTATTAAAAGCTCCACTGGGACGAGACCCATTCCGATGCTTAGAGCTTGTCTATTTTGTTGACCAATGCCCAGTTTCCATAACGGTTCCTGCAATGGAACTGGTTCACAATATGTGTAAGTCAGATAAATGAGTAACTGGGAGTAGAGGGCAACACTCGCATATGTGGATAAGGAGGCAGAATGGGGGGCTCCTTTTACCTATAAAATTTGCCACATGTCTACTTGCTTCTCAGGACATCTCTTGATCCCCTGACCTGAATCCATTGCCCCAAGCAAGGCTTTATTCTCATCTTCCACATGTCTGTGTCTGTAGACAAGAGTACAGCCATCATGGTGAGTCCCACTAATACAATAATTTCCACTGAAAATTAAGGGGTTGCTGCTTCATTCTTAAAAATTGGTTCACATCCCAATAGAATTCTTGGGAACAGAAGGCCAGCCAGGGTCCCACCCTGTGGGGAAGAAGCTAAGAATGGTGTATAGGAGACAGACCTGAGTCCAGACCTCACTCTCCTTCTGACTTGAAAAGTTACTTCCTCAGAATTCATTTTCCTCAGAGACATTTTAACTTGATAACATGACAAATGTAATCCTTTTGTTTTTCAAGTTAGGATCTATAACAGGCAGCTAAAACCAGAGATAGATATCACAATATTGTAGCAATATTGTGAGTTCATCTGGGTCACAGGGTCAGCACTTCTCCTGGGGTAAGTCATTATTACTGTGAGAAGACAGCTGGCCTCCTCATTAAAAACCCAGAAACACTGCTAAGGGAACCTCCCAGGGGAAATGGACATCACCCAGCAATCTTCACACCTAAAACTGTACAGATATGTGAGTGTGGGGAGCCAGCAAGGGGTTTGGGACAGAAGAAAAGGTGAAGCTGAGGGTAGGAATCTGAAGCAATGGGCAGGTGCCAAGGGTACAGGTTTGGGAATCACTCCAAACCATAAAGGGCTGGCACTCTGCAGCTTGACAGATGCAAAGCACTTGTGGAATTTCTGCAACGCACGCAACCCTAGCCCGGTGTGCTACTCCCTGTGGAAGGCAGGAGCTGGGCTCCACATGCTCATCTTCCTTAGGGCTGTACCAAGTCATCCGCAAAATTTGTTCTCTTTGCAATCCTCCCAGCATCCATCATTAAGCCTTCCTTAAGATCCATGTGGTTGGTTTGCAACACAGGCATTCACACTTCAGTTTCTACCTTCAGTTGTCTTTTTGAGCTTAATGCTGAGCAGAGGAGACCACTTACCTGTAACCAGCATCTCTAGATATTACTGTTGTAATCTGGTACATCAAAAGTAAACTTAGGAATCCTCTTTCCTAATTTACTGTTTCTGTCTCTGGCCCTGCGAGTGTCACCCAAGACTTAACTTTAGAAGTTGCTCTTCATTCACCAATCTTCATCCTAAATCATCTGTACCCTCCATGAAGAATAGCAAGCATTCTCACTGGTCTCAGACAGGTCTTCCTGCTCCCACAGACGCTAAATAAACCACTAGGTGGATCTTTTAAAAGCTACATTCATGATTTGCTTGTTAACCTATGAGGGTCCTGCTCACCAGTGTTTAGAAATCTTCGCCGGCCCTTGGAGAACTTTGATGAACATTGTCTCTTCCATGCTCTAACCTGTTCAGTTCCTCAGGACTATTTGTTAGCCACCCCCTCCCCACACACACACCTTTATCTCACTGTCAATGACAACCCCCCTGTTTCCCTGAAGGCCCCACAGCGACTCTGATACTACTCTTGCACCTGTTGAAAATCTCCTATCATGATGATCTGACATTGTCATGGCACACCTCATAAATCTCAGAAGCCAACTACATCCCCGTTTTCCAAGTTCCCCAAGGATTCTCACAATACACACCAATTGCTGAACATCGCCCTCTGGTTATCCCACACGCTCACATTGAGATCTGAGCTCTAAAAGACAGGCTGCCCCTCTACTTACTCAGGATGCTCAAGTGTTAAGGCTAGTTCCAGATACATCACTCAGGACTTTGCCAGGCCTTCAGAAGTGCTTGTTAAATATCAAATTAAAAAAATTAAACCAAGTCAAGTCCCTTGAATACCACACTTTCTTCTCTTAGCACAGAAATCTCTACTGCATTCACCTCAAGTGTAATAGCCAGTATAACCTATTAGGTTTCAACTATGAATCCAAAGAGAAATCCTTGACACTGGATGAGCAAGACCAGAAGTTGCCATCTTGTCTGTCTTTCTGAGAGGCTATGTCTGCACCAACATAACAGCAATGGCTCACACCCTTGGAGCAAAGAGGGTCTGACTCTGGTACATGTCAGGTCCCTGTGGGAAATCTGTAAGGCCGATTCTCCCTTCTGTAAATATTGCAGGTATGTCTTCCTGCACCCTAGAGCCCAGCCAGGTAAGGTGAAGCCCCAGCAGAGGACAAAGCTGCCAGCATGACAGTGTTCAGGGAACAGACCTTAAGGACTTACCCTCACACAGTAGTTCAGACCGGACCCCAACAGGTGCTGCAGAGAAAGCTTGTCCTGCCTGCTCCTGGGGGTTGGTTGTCCAGGACCAGGCAGTGGGCAAGCATCAGGAGGCAAAGGGGTTGCCCTGTGTCCCACCTGGGCCGGATGTGGTGAAGGAGCAGGCCCCGTCCTGTTTAGACTGGTTTCTGGGGAAGCTGGACTGCCTGGAGCCTGATCTTGGCTCTCTTGGAGCTTCAGCCGAGGCACCTCTTTGGTACCCAGGCAAAAGGTTTTCAGACTCAGAAAAGTAACTGGGTTGGCCAGCTTCATGCTTGCCATACGGGGGATCAAGGTGCACAGCGCAGTGGGGCTCTCCTGGGTGGGCACAGTGGCATCTTCAGCTGGCAGGTGAGGAGCCAGGGCTGGGTAGGAAGGTGGCGACGAGCCCTTGTTTCCAACAGAGCCTCCGGGGCTCCCTTCATCCAAAGACGTGATGGACTCGTTCCGAAAGCGGCTGTACTTGGCCCTGTGAAGCATCCCCAGGTGCCCAAAGAGTCCTACATACAGAGCGAGTCCTGCCTGGCTGTCCTGGCCTCGTTCTCTCATAGCCTTGGAAGTGCTGAGACGGGGCACCGAAGCCTAAACTGCTTCGCTGTCCAATAGACCCACAAACACAGCCACCTTTTACTTCTGTTCCGGGGGCCACCCGCCCGGGTCCCTGACTCCTCAAGGATGATAGCCCAGGAAGATGCCTCTCTGGCTCTGATAGCAGTCCCTTCACGGCCCGGGCAGAGGCTTCGGGGGATCCTTGCCCCGGAGTCCCCCAGGCTGGAGCAGCGGGTGCCACCACGCCTCTAGCCCTAGCAGAAAGATTTACCCCCCTTCCCTCTGCGCACAGGAACTTTCAAACCTGCTCCCTCCTGCACCCACGGGGCGGGGCAGCGACCGGCCCATTAACCCTTTATTTGTTCCCGTGATTGCTCATTTTCAAAGGGAAAAATAAAAAAGCACATAAGAGTCAAAGGCCCTTCTGTATGGGCTGGGGTTATGACGGCTGCCCTCTCTCGGAGGATCTTGGTTCTGGGCCACCAGCCAGGAGTCCTAGCGACGGGCGCTGGTCCGCATTGTTCCTCCTGCTTGAGGTCCGGGCATCCTCGGTGCAGCTCGGGCCCGATCCGGCCGGCCCACCCCTTCTCGGGGCGCCCTTCCCTCCCGGACCCTCCTGCAGTCTCCTTCAGAGCCTGTGCACAGCCGAACGCTGAGCTGAGCGGATGATACGCAAGCTGTTGAAATTTTTATGAATGAACTTAGCCGAATGAATTTCCCTCGTTGTGTGAGAGCTAATAAATCTGTGAATGGAGCCGAGAATAGCTGCAATTGACTGACCGGTTGGGGTGGGGTGGGGAGGGATGCTGCTTGGTTTTCGTCCAATCAGGCTGCAGCTTCATGAGTCATGCACAGTGAATATACTAAACTAGTAGCCGGGAGAGACGAAGCCTGGCGGAGAGGAGGAATAGGTTAAAAGTAAAGGCAATCTTTGCTCCTGGATCAGTATGCCGGGAACCAGAAGATTAAAAATCGATTTCCTTTCTTGTTGAGATGGGGAGGAAAGAGCTAGAACTTAGATATATTGTAACACCTACATTAGGGCATACAGTACACAAGCAACTCTTGTGCAAAGCCCAGATTCATTTTTCTTAGCAAGGTAATTCTTTTTTTTTTTTAATTGATTGCCGCTCCATCTTCCGTCTGGTGTAATTTCCTGAGCACATCAAATGCCCCTGGAAGAAGACAGTGAAGGTTGAGCACACAGGAAGCGGAGCCCCAGCTGGGAAGAGGAAATGCAGGTTCATTCAGGAGCTGAGCAGAGGGAAAGGCTGCGCCCCTGGGATGGGGGTGGGGTGAGATCCCGGGGAGGAAGCCGCTGAGATTGCATTTCTCTGTGAGCCTTGGCTCTAGTACCTGAGACTATTCATGAATTCAAACACCAAGGCAGCAGCCAAGAGACTCTGGGAAGAGGTCCACCTCATCTTCCCACCGACCACAGGCCCCGTTAGCTCCTGAGTGCTCAGGGCTTAGCCTCCACTCAGGAGCCATCAAACACCCGTGACCAGGAGAAAAACCGCCTCAGCCCTGCTTCCTTTGCTCTCAGGCTGGCTCAGGATGGCTTTTCAGCATCCTGTCTGCCCACTTTGTCAGTGTGTGCTTTTCTCTGGGAAGATCTTCTGTAGCTTCATATGCCTTCTTTTCAATCCTAACCGACTTTCTTTTCGCATCTCCACCCTTGGCAAAATGAAAAGGATGACTAAATCATATCCATGCGCCCAGGACCTGGGCAGACAGGATGGAGGCAAGACTGAAATAATCTGTTTGGTACTTCTGACTGCTCCCGATTCCTCTGTTGTCGCCCCTGTTTTCTCCTCCCCTCCCTCACCCCTCCCTTATGTATGCCTTGCCACAGGAACACCATACTGCCTTGAGAGAGTCCCTTACCCTCTGTGAGTGGTAATGACCTTGTCTATGAGAAGTGGCTAGTGAATGATGTGAAAGGCTTTGAACTACTTTAATCCCTGGAAAGTCTTGGCACAATGTTCCAGAGAGTATCTGCCTCCCTAAGCATACTGGATAGTGTTTTTAAAAGGCCACTGGAGAGCCGGGCGTTGGTGGCGCACACCTTTAATCCCAGCACTCGGAAGGCAGAGGCAGGCGGATCTCTGTGAGTTCGAGACCAGCCTGGACTACCAAGCGAGTTCCAGGACAGCCTCCAAAGCCACAGAGAAACCCTGTCTCGAAAAACCAAAAAAAAAAAAAAAAAAAAAAAAAAAAAAAAAGGCCACTGGAGGGCCTGGAGTTAACAATATGTACTGCTCTCTCAGAGGACCTGAGCTGGGATCTGTGCTGGACAGCTCACAGTACCTCCAGCTGCAGGGAACCAGATGCCCTCTTCTGGGCTCCATGACTACCTACACACACACACACACACACACACACACCCGTACTTAAAAATAATAAAGCAAATCTTTAAAATAAGTGAATAAATGGCCATTGGAAGCAGGGTGTTCCCACTGAAGCAGTTCCTAACTGCTAGAGTATTCTACATCATATTAGGCAATCAAAAAGAAAAAGTATCACAAAGCAGGGAATGCCAAGAAAGGATACTGTCTCAAGAAACTATTCCCAGTGCTCGCATGGGCTAGGGAAAGGTGGTGACACTGCAGACGTCTACATGGCCTGCTGAGGCTGTCCTGCCTGTAGGCCTGAGTGACCTGGAAGGCCCTTTCACCCAGCTCTAAGTCGCACCGACCAGACCAGCATAATAGGGCATTCTGGAAGCTGCAGGCAGAGCTAAGTAGGAACAAACAGATAAGAAAGCAAACATAACTGCTGTGAGCCACTTTTTTGTCCTGGGAGCTTGGAAGACCTTGACCTGCAAAAGCCATCCAGCAGCCCCAGAGAAGGCTGATTAAGGCAATGGGTTCCTTTGCAGGTAAGTAGGTGAGCAAGAGGTCAATGTATCATCTGCCACTAGAAGCAGGAGCAAAACAACACTATGTAATGTTCACTGGAGTGCTGCAGCCGGGCTCCCACCCGCTAGCTACCAGTATGCCTGGCAGTCTTAGCAACTGACTGCGCCAGCGCTGTCTTACACATGAGCAGACATGAAGTAAAGAGAGATCCGCAGCCTGGTCCTGGCTGCTGAGTAAGGATCCCACCAGGATGCCTACTGTATTTGCTGCCTCCTGAAGACCAGGAAGCCCACATCTGGATTCTGGCCCTGGTTGAGACCACAAGCATCTGAGTACTCCCCAGAGCTCTGGCAAATACTCCCAGGTTCCAGAGTTGTAGAGAAGCCTAACTGAATCTGCTGTCTGAGACCATCCTGAAAGCAATTGCTCTGCCACCGATTTCTTTCCTCTCTCTACTCTGCAAAACTGCCTGGAGAAAAGAAAGTGTATGTAGCCCACCAAGGACTTTTTAGAAGTGAGAATAACGCCAGACTAGAGGGTATAAAAACCCTGATGGCCAGACCACTATCCACACACTGCACACTTGGTAGTTTGATGTAGAGAAAGACCCTTAGCTAGGCTGGCTTGATGGAAATGAGTTTCTCAGGGGACTGGAGTCGGGGATACAAGTTCAAGGCCAGCCTGTACTAGAGTAAGTTCAAAGCTGATAATTCAATAACTTAAAAGGAGCTAGAACTAGGTGCTTGCCTAGCATGCATGAAACTGTAGGTTCAGTCCTTACTGTCATTAAGAGAGAGAGGGGAGGAAAAGCTGTTAGCCTGGGAGTTAAAGAGCCAGGGGCAAGCAATTCTACTTTCTTATCTGTCTGGGGACCTCTGGGAGACAATAGTGTGTGTCAGGCTCGTACTGCCCAGCAGGTTCAAAGGTGAATGCTTTGCTACTGCACCTGATACCCACTGTCACTGCCATCAGCCATCTGGAAACGATGCCCTCACAAGGCCTCATTTTGTCCTGGCCACCAACATTGCAGAGTATGAAGTTGCTATTCCCTCATCCTCCTCTTCCCACACTGAAACCTGTCAGAGCACAGCTGCAGCAAGCTCGACAATGGCTTTACATCACCATGAGAGTCTGCATCTCCCTTTCCCCAAACAGATTTTTTACGTAGCTTTTCAAAAATGTTCCCCAATGCAGCTGAATGCTGAAGCCTGTAGCTATGGTGAAAGGCTCCTCAAGGATGGTTATCAATACCTTGCCTCTGAGGCTACCATGTGTCTACCTTAGGACACACAGGAAGACTGACTGGGAGGACTGACACACATACCTCCTACAACTGTTCCCAGGCCTTTGGACCTGGGTTTGCCAGGCCATATTCATAAAGTGCTTAAACACAATGATGCTCTTTGCTTTTAACTTTCTTCTTTCTCTGGGTTTTCTCTAGCTGTTCGTCCGTGTCTACTCTACTGTTCTAAGAGCCAACAATTTGTTTCCTCACTTTCTCAGGTCCAGGAAGATGGAAAACTTTGTCCCAGGATAGCTCCTTCTCAGCCATTCCTAATTTAGATGGCTTAATGAAATTTGGGACAACGGAGCAGATGAAATAGTCATGAGATTCTAGACTTTGAGCAGGGAATTTTGAGGACCTTGGGATGAGGTGAATGAATGTTGAACAGGAAATACAAGAACCTATTGGAGACAGAGAATGGGCTAATTAACCTATGGGAAATCGACACATTTGTGTGAGTTAAACTGCTAAATTTATGACTTTTGTTTTGTTTTATTCTTGATGCCAACGTAGTGACTTTTTGTGTTGCATCAGAAAAGAAGGAACAATTTTGCACCTGATATCAAAAAACAAAAACAAACAAACAAAAATCCAGCCTGGGTGGAAACGATGCTTCCTATTTTCCCTCAAAGCACATCAAGGTGAAAAGAAGGACCAAGTCGGAGTGGGAACTTCCATCCACCAGTCTGCCTTGAAGTTGTGTGGGAGAGCGAAGACAAGATGACCCAAAAGCCAGAGGTAGGAATAGCACACAGGCCAGGCCCCCTTTTCCAAAGCCACCTGCATTCCCAGGTCCTTCAGCATCGGGGGAAAAAAGAAAAGCTCTCAGACTACTACATAGTGCGTGGGTCATGGCCAAAGAAGCCCAAAACTGCATCTGAAGGTGTGAGAGTATGAGTTAAAAGAAAACAATTTGCTGCAAAACAACTTGCTGCGAGGTGGTGGCTCACGCCTTTAATCCCAGCACTTGGGAGGCAGAGGCAGGCGGATCTCTGTGAGTTCGAGGCCAGGCTGGTCTACAGAGTGAGTTCTGGGACAGCCAGGGCTACACAGAGAAACCCTGTACCCCGAAAACAAAACAAAACAACAACAAAAGTTTCCAATGAAATGTTGGAAGAGACAAGAGGGAATAGTAGTCTGTCCCAGCATCTGGCATAGATGGGAACATCTATAACCCTAGCTGAAGCAGGAAGATCATCAGCCCTGCCTGGGCTGCAGACAGAATTCAAGGCCAACTTTCCCAACTCTGCAAGAGCTTGTTGCTAAATAAAGAGTAAGAAAGAGGGGCCAGTAAGATGGCCTAGTGGGTGAAGGCACTTACCATCAAGCTTGAGGACCCACATGGTGAGAGGACAAATTGAAACCTGCTAGTTTCCCCGTGACCTCCAGATGCTTTTGCATGCACGCACGCATGCACACACATGTGTTTACACACACACTGAACAAAGAAATAAATAAGGTTAGAAAGATGGCTCAACAGCTAAGTCATTGGCTGCTCCTGCAGAGGACCTGGATTCCCACCACCCACATGACAGGTCACAACTTTCTACAACTACAATTCCAGGGAGGTTAGTTTGGTGTTTCACCACAAAGAAGGGCTCAAACT